GAAGTTCATAGCCCCCCAAACTCTAAACCCCAAACCCCAAACCCTAAACCCTAAACTCGAAACCCTCTCTGTTTTGTCTAAGAGGTGTTAACCGCAGCTCTGAGCGGCGGACTTGACCAACATGCTCCTGTACAGGCAAGGTGCAAACCAGCTTCATGTTTGGCGCTTCGGGGTTTAGGGTTTTGGGTTTAGGGTCTAGGGTCTAGGGTCTAGGGTCTTGGGTCTTGGGGCTCAGGGTTAGATGCTTCGAGTCTAGGGGCTTAGGAAGTCTAGGGTTTGTTAGGTGCTTAGGGTCGAGGGGCTTAGGAGTTTAGGGCTGTTTGGGGGGTTTAGGGGTCAAGGGGTTTTGGGGGTTTAGGGTTTTGGGGTTTACGGTTTAGGGATTTAGAGGTTAGGCATTTTTTGGGTTACGGTTCTTGCTTAGGGTCTAGGGATTAGGGTATAGGGTTAGGTGCTCAGGGTCTAAGAGTCTATGGGTTTCGGGGTTTAGGGTTGTTTTTCGGGGTTTCTCGGTTTTAGGGGTTTAGCGGTTAGGGTTTAGGGTTTGGGGGTTTCGGGGTTTTGCCGGTTTTGGGGTTAAGGGTTTTCATGGGTTTAGGGTTTAGGGTTTACGTGTTTAGGGTTGGGTGCTTAGGGTCTAGGGTTTAGGGTTAGGTGCTTAGGGTCTAGGGCTTTGAAGGGAGGTGGTGGTTTGTTTCGAGGTTTCGGGGTTAAGAGTTTGTAGGGGATTAGGGGTTAGGGTTTAGGGGTTTGGGTTTCAGGGGCTTAGGGGTGTAAGGGTCGTAGGGGATTAAGGGTTTTAGGGGTTTTGGGGTTTGCAGGGTTTAGGGTATGGAGTAGTACGACAAGGACGTTTACCTTGATTGCTGGGTACGTTTCGTCCTTTTTGAACGGTACGAGGCTAGTTTAAGTATGCTTAGGACGTTCCTCTGCATGGACCCCCTTACATACCAAAACCCTCAACCTTCAACAAGCAACCCTTAGTTTACAGGAACCCAAGCCCCCCCAACAAAGAAAACAAGGAACGGGCACATCTCATGCTAGAAGGTGCCCTAACACACAACCCTAAACCCCAAACCCGAAACCCCATCAAGTCTCCGCCCCCCCCCCCCCCCCCCCCCCCCCCCCCCCCAAATGCCCGGAACAGGTCATCCACGCCGCTGCAGGACCGCGGCTCGAAATTGGGGCGTAGGGGCGGTGAGGCGGGGTTCGGTTCTGGGTTTAGGGTTTAGGGTATATGAAGGGTTTAGGGTTTAGGGGGTCTGGGTTTCGGGGCCCCTAAAATCTTTATGGTTTTAGACTTTAGACTTTGCTTCCGGTCTGTGGTAAGGGGCTTCCTGTGGGTTTAGCGCTCCCTCCACCCCCTATACAGCGATGTACTGGTTCTTTGAACTGCCCAACGACCCCATGAGGGTTTAGGGTTTAGGGTTTAGGGTGTAGGGTTTAGGGTTTAGGGTTTAGGGTTTAGGATGATTCAAGAGGCCTTTATTGGGGCTTGAAGTTTTGGTTTTGTCAGGCTAAGCCCTAAACCCTAAACCCTATCTTCTTGACCCTAAACCCGAGTTCCATCCTACCGTCGGCTTCAACATTGCACCCAGATCACCTTGACAGGCGGCACTCTTGGGTTGGGTTCTAAGGAAAGCGTTCAGCAGGCCATCAGGAGGATTCTCCGCGAGACATCTACGGCCTTGATGTCTGGGTTTGGAGCGGCCTCTTCTGCCGTGACTGGTGCGCAAGAACAATTCAAGAAATCTTTCAAGAACTCGAAGGAGGCAAAGAGCTCCAGAGTTACCCAAGAGGTGTGTGTCTAGTCCTATAGTTTAGGGTTTGGGTTTTAGGGTTTAGGGTTTCGGGTTTCGGTTTGGGGTTTAGGGTTAAAACCTCAAGCTCTTAAACCTTAAAGGGCTTTCGGGCTCTACTTCAAAAGCCCGAGGTTCATGGTTTTGAGGGATCAGGGGGTTTCGCGCGTCGGGTTCCTATTCCTCTGAAAGGGGCCGTGTATTTAGGGTACAGGTCCGGGCTTGAGGTTGTGAGGTTTCCTTTCGTAATGTCTTCGTTTTCAGAAATCCCAAGAGATGTACGATTTAGGGTTTAAAAGGGTTTAGGGCAGTTGACGGTTTAGCGTTGGTGTTATGGCGTTAATCGCTTCGGGGCTTGGGGCCCTAAACCCTAAGCCCTAAATCCTAAACCCTAAGCCCTAAACCCCTTAGCAGTAACTTCAAACCAGGACTGGGCTACTGCTCGGCCGTGAGCCTGGCAGTATCCTTGGGCCAGGCACATATTATGGGCTTCCCTAGACTGTAAAGGTTTAGGGTTAGGGTTTAGGGTTTAGGGTTCAGCATCTCAAGTGCAAGCATTCAATAGTTAGGCTCGCTACTCTGGTTTCGAATATCTACCCACCCACCCTTTGCATCCCATAGTACTGTGAAAATATTTAGTTGTTAACTTCATTCAATCACAAGAACTCATGTTGAAAATAGTACAAAACTTTTGTTTTTCCAATTCTTGCGTCCCGGGGGGGGTGCCGGACAGTCCACATGGGGATATCTCTGCCCTTGGCAGCATTCCAAACAAACCAGTGGGCATGGCAATGCCCGGATCAATGTTAGGTGCTTTAATAAATACATAAACAGATAAATATGTGTATATGTATTAAATAAATCAAAAAATATGTATATATACACATGCTCGCCACCCCCTCCCCCCCCCAAGATCTACGTTTACAGGTTTCCAGAACCCAAAGAAAAACAAAAAAACGCCAAAATCAGAATGCCAAAAAACCCAAACCAAAAAAAAAAAAAAAAAAAAATACGCCAAAATCAGAATGCCCAAAAACCCAAACCAAAAAAACAAAATATATATATATATATATTCTGAGACTCTTGGGCAGGCGAAACCAAAGCAACCCAAACCAACAAAAACAAAACCAAATAAACAAAAAAAACAAAACCAAAAACAACACAAAACAAACACAAATATATATATATATATATATAGATAAGAAAACATTATTTTCGAACTCTTGACGTCACGGGGTAATGATTCCCTTTGTCCAAGAGTCTCGGATTTTTGTTTGTGTTTTTTTTTTTTTTTGGGGGGGGGGGGGGGGGCGGTTGTTTTTGTTTTTTTTGTTTTTTTGGTTTCATGTTTCCAAGAGTCTCAGAAAATGGTTATTTTCGTTCTTTCGTTTTTTTGGTTTTAGTGTTTTTGGTTTGTGTGTTTTTGGTTTGTCTGATTTTGTGTTTCTCTTGTAGAGAAATAGTGCGTGCCCAAAACCTAGGGCAATACTGTGCTTTTTCAGATGCATGGGTGCCTGTACTAGGCAAACAATGAACTAATACTATACGAAAGAGGCGAGTGACTCTCGTAGGGTATTTCCGGAAACAGTTACAGTATCACTGCGTGGCACTTCAGACAGCACATGGAACATTCCAGGAGAGCTGGGGCAACTGACATGGAGGTACATCCAGTAAACACTCCTGCGACTGGCAGATTCCACTCTTATTTGCCGCTTCCCTCAGAACGGCCCACTGTGGTGTGCCATGGCTACACGGCATGTCGCCTTTCAGCACTGTCAACAATATTGAGTCAATCAGCATAAACAAGCCAGCAAGCTGCAAGCTCGTGAGAAGGGCTTGGTCATTGCTGAAATTACAGATCTGTCACAGCCATCTGCTGTGGGACCGCATCGCGAGGGCGACTGCGCATCGTTCGGGTTCCTGTGTTCTTGCAGGGCTCTCATTTTTATTCATAGTCCAGTGCTCACTCTGAGAACCCAGTGCCAATTAATCCTGGCCGTCCTGGCCGAGGCAAGGGGACTAGGGAGGACTGAGATTCAGCATTGTGCCAAGTGTGGTGCTCTTGGAGAGCCACTTCCCAAGCCGCCATCGGCGCCATCAAAGCCCAAGGCACCTGTGGCCACCATACATACCCAAAACAGCAGACAACGCAGGTGAGTGCGACGTGCTGCCAAAGTGTTGGTGCTCGCCAGAAGTCCTCATCCCTGAGACGGAAGCTGCTCGGTGCGAGGCGGCTGAGGCAGTGCATTGGTCGGGAGTGGACTGGCGCTTCTGCTTGTCAAAAGTCCTCACCGTGAGGCGGAAGCCGCTTGGTGCACGACGGCTGGGGCAGTGCACTGAAGTAGAATGTGAATTGCCAAGGGCAGTGTCATGCATGAACGCTCTCGACCTTGTGCTGCGCCGCTCCTTCATCAGATCAAGCCTTTAGTTTTGATTAGAAAAAATATTAGGAGGCCATCGTCCAGTACGTGGCGGAAGTCAGGCCGAGCATGCAATGGCAAGCGTTCGGGAACAGAGAGAGGCCATTTTGCGGGGGTTTCGGAAGCACCTTATAGACAAGGGGCATGATGATGATGAGTGGAAGGCCATTGCCGAGAGCTCTCAGATTCCCGCAAAGTACTTCCAACCCCTTAATGGTGGAAGTGCCCGCGATGAGACTTGCATCAATGAGTGTGTCAGCCGAGTCCTTGGGCCAGGCATTTGGCTTCGGTACGAATGTTATGATGATGACTTTCGTGTTCAGGGGGAATCCATTTTGGAATTTACTGAGCCGGTAGGGACTAGAGATGGTTACGCCGCATTCCATGGGCGGCATGTTGCGGCTAGTGACTCCGATTACGAAGATTGGGCACGTCAGTATGCCGCAGATCCATCAAAGCTTGTGTATCACTTGTGCGGTTGCAACGCCGCTGAATGCGGATGGCAAAAGCGGGGTAAGAAAGTAGTTCATATCGCCAGATGGCGATTGATTACATTGCGCGATGCCGCGCTCTTGGATTGGAGCTCAGCGGCCGCTTTTGAGAAATTGCGTGTGAATGTGCACCACGCCCGCACCGTGGTGAAGAAGAAAATAGGCAAGCAGGCGCCACAGGGCAAGCCTGTAGTAGAGCAGAGGGGTCCAGTAGAGAGTGGGCCGCCCAATTCTGAGCAAGTAACGGCCAGTGCCCGAAATCACGGGGAGAAAATTCGTGAAGCCCTGAGATGCGGGAGCCAAGCTTGCTGGATCAAGTCAGCAATGCCGGGGTGGGTGAGCCCGTTGTCGGAGCTGGGTTGCTCCGGAAAGATGTGGGCGGAAAGCGGCCCGATGAGGCCGAACGAGGTCGTGAGCGCCAAAGACAAGCCAAGCGCAAGACTGACGTGCAGCAGGGCTTGGTTGCTTTAGCTGCGGGATCTAAGGGCATTGCTAGGATGAACTTTGTCCAACAGATTTCCAGCGAAGAGGACGCGGCCGCAAAGCCTAACGCTAGCTCCCGAGACAGGAAGCGAAAGAAGCGCAAGCGTGATGGAAGGCGCAGGAGGTCCTCGTCAAGTCGACCCAGCTCAAGGAGTTCTTCTTCGTCCGTTGTTGCCACCACCAGGGATGGAGGTGTTGAGTCCCTGGCAGTGGCCTCAAGAAAGAAACCAGGGAAGCTGCTTCGGTCAGGACTGATGGAGATGAGACAGTATCTCTTGGACCATGGTGGGGCTGCCGCGAGCCAGGACAGCGTCGGAGAGGACTGGAGATCCACGAAAGTGGGGGCATACATCAGTCAAGTTCTGTTCGTGAACCATTCTCCCGACACCATGGGCATTCGAAATGCCAGGGAGATTGTCACCCTGGCCACTTGCCTTGATCATCTTTTGAGTGGTCAGCTGGCACGTGCGGGGGACGTCCTCATGCAGCGCCTCAAAGCAGTTGAGTCCTCCCTGACTGATGGCTGGTCAGTAGCCCGGCATCATGAGTTAATTCCGCCGGCGCGGCCTGCAATCGCCAATGATCGTGAAAGGGATTTTGCGGCCAAGGCAGCTTTGAGAGCCGCCCGGCTCCAAGAAAGCTTGCAGAAGACTCGGGTCCAAAAGTCGGGCTAGGGGTTAGGCGGCCGACTGGCTCTTCCCTCCAAGAGCCTGTTGGTGACGCCACACACCCCTTCTCGCAGGAGGGACCGAAGCGAAAGCAGCAACTCCCGAAGGAGGGGGACACGAATGCGGAGCGAGACGGATCACGAGAAGGATCCCAAACATTTAGCGAGTCCTGCGCAGAAGACTCCTCAGCGACCGCCTCTCCAAAGGAGAGCGGCGAACTTGAAGCAGCACAGGAAGTTCGCGAAACAAGGATGGACTCAGAGAGTTCGGAATCCCTATTTAGGGGCTCCCGGACTGAGCACGGCGCCGGCGGGGCCTGGGAAAGGCCCCGCGCCCCCTTCTGGCGGGAAGGGGGCCGATCGGCGTCGCAAGTAAAAGCAGGAGATGCGGCCCTTCGTGGTTGGCTGTCCACGCAAGGGATGGCGCAAATGACAGCAGCGCAGGCGGGCATTTTGCTAGCCACTTGGTTTTTCAAAGATACAAAGGCTTTCCCTGAAGGCTCGGAGCTGACGCCGTCGCAATTTTTCTCTGCGCCACACGGCAGCGAGGGGAGGCAACGGGATTTGCTTCCCCTGCCTTTCGATGCAGACAAACAACAAGTCATTGCTACCTTGCGTCAGTTAGTGGATCAGGGAAGGCCTTCCGCAGACAGACACGTGAACCGAAGTGCGCAACGTAGACTCATGGCGTTGGGGACTGATTCATGGGCTTTGGTTCAGCAGGTTGCTCTTAATCTCACTTGGGGCCAGGGGCTGTGCAATTTCCAGTCTCCCACAGTCGTTCAGCAACAGGCCATAGGTCATTTGCTCCAGCAAGGGGCCCGCATGGTGGCAGCGACAACTGCAGCAGGGCATGCGGTGCGGTGTGAAGTTAAGGATTGGGAGGCCACCGTCAATCACTTGAGCATTTCTTATGCTGGGGAAACAGTGCAGCCGGCTCAATGGCTTACAGTAGATCAGGTTTTGCCCGGCTTGCCCCCTGACAAGTTTTCCGCAAGCATTGAGCTTGCTGCATTATGTGAGGGGGCAGTGAGACGATGTTTGGAAGACCCTTCCCTTGTGTTGAAAGCTGACTTGGAGGACAAGGACATGCTCCCCAAGGCTCGCGTACTGTGCAGTGACGCTGAGTGGACAAAAATGGCAAAAGTCTTGCTTGACAAAGGGTTAGTCCGTCCTTTGAAAGAACACGAACTGTTCATGATCGGCGGCCGCCCGCTCCTGAACGGGGCCTTCGGAGTGCCTAAGCCTGGCAAGTTGACTTCACAGGGGCAGGAAGTTCAGCGGTTCATCATGGACTTGCGGCCGTCAAACCATATTCAGTTCCCCATCGTTGGGGACATTGCAAGCTTAGCCGGGCCTTGTAAGTGGCTAAATTTGGTTCTCCCGCAGGGGCAAGTCTTACAAATATCAGGTGATGACCTCACAGCCGCTTTTTATTTGTTCTATTTACCGAGGGCATGGCATAAACTGTTCGCCTTTGAGAAAGCAGTCAGACTGTGTGATGTTTTGGAGGGCTCCTCAGACACGTCTCAGGTTTGGCTGGCAGCCACGGTCATGCCGATGGGATGGCTGTCGGCCGTGGGTATTCTGCAACATGCCCATCGGCGCATGGCGACCGCAGTGGGGAGCCTGCGGCTGCCACTTCGATCAGAGATCCGACGCGATGCGCCTTTACCAGACACGGGTTTGGCAGAACTCTCGCGGCTCTGGCATATATATCTAGACGATTCAACTTTTCTTGATTGGGTTGGCGAAGACCAGTTAAAAGCTGACCGAGACCTCCCAGAGGAGTCTCCCCTGCAACGCGTGCTGCGACGAGTGTACGGAGAGCAAGGTGTGCCTTGGTCGTCCGACAAGTCAGTCACGCGCCAGACCACAGCCACACGACTGGGTGTGGTCATTGATGGGGAGCATGGCAGTCTGGGGGTCAGCGTGGAAAAAAGGCTAACCTTGTTCCAGCTTGGTCTCTTTCTGTTATGTCAGCAAAAGGTCTCCAAAAAGGCCATTCAAGTCTTCCTTGGCAAACTCACACATGCGTTGCAGTTTCGGCGCCCAGTTTTCTCTTTCCTTCAACTTTTGTGGAAGAGAGTCTTAGGTCCACCGATGGGTGGCCCATTTTCGGCCCAGGAGCGCAGAGAAATTTTCATGGTGATGGCGATGCTGCCTCAACTGCAAACAAACCTACGTGCTCGTATTTCAGGCTTGGTGACAGCCTCAGATGCCTCGGAATATGGTGGGGGAGTGTGTGCTGGAGAGCGCGTCACAGCCATAGGACAACATGTGCAAGTGCAGGAGCGTTATCTTCTTCGTAGTTTTCCTTGCGCAAGTGGGGTCTTGCTGTTTGAGTGGTGCGGGGGCATCGGAGGTCTGCGCAGAGCCATCGATTTGCTCCATATTCCCGTCATAAAGACAGTGTATTGCGATTGCGATGTCTTTTCGCAGCGTGTGTACCGCGCAACCTGGGGACTTGAGACCCTGTGGCCAAAGCTCTCCAATGTTCGGCGCGAGCATGTGCACCAACTTCTGAGTGAAATGCCTCATGTCAGTTTTGTCATCCAAGGTGGGAGCACTTGCGGCCAGCCCTGGGAGCTTGATGGCATCTCGGAGGCTCCGCTGGGCCTCCTCCACGAGTTGACCGAAGTACAAAATTGGGTAGCGGAGTACTGCGCTGAACGGCAAATTGGTCATTTTGCTTACGTGGAAACCATGCCCTGCGACTTACCCATGGACAACGAAGCCATTCAACACAACAGGGTGTCCTATCTTTTGTGCAGTAGTGGTTTCTCATTGGCTCGGCGACCGAGGTTCTTCTGGACGAGTCATCCGCTCCAGTTGATCCCGGAGGCGACTTTCGAATTTCGCACCTCGGGCACTGTTATTCAGGTTACCGGATCGTGTGAGCCTGTGGTATCTTGGCTGCCCGTGCCCTGGAAGTGGCCGGCAGGGGAAGCTAACGACAAGTTGCGTTTTCCGAGCTTTACTGCCACCTGCCCCAAAAGCGCCCGAGCCGTGGCATTGGCCCATTGTGAGTGGGAGTCGACTGATGTTCAAACCAGATGGAAAAATGATTCTTGTCGGTTTCCAGTGGAGACGTATTCGGATCAATTTCTTGTTGCTGCCGGGCCCGCCTGTCGAATCTTGTGCGCAGCAGAAAGGGAAGCGCTCTCAGGCTTTCCGAAAAGCCACACTCGTTCGGTCCTCAAAATAGTCAAGGGCCAGGCAGGTGAGGCGGTCCGGTTGGACCTCCTTGGGCGAGCGCCGCATTGTGGGAGTGTGGCTTGCGTGTTGCTCATGGGGCTGCCGGGGGCAGGGTGGAGTGACCGTTTGCCCTCCTTTAAAGAAGCCTGGGACATGCATTTGTACGAGCTGGCCTCATGGCCTTCCGAAAAGCCCCCTGATGCACTTCCCTCGGATGTCGCCCCGGCTCAGGTGTATGATTCCGTGGAGGAGACTGAGACTGGCTTCAAGCACGGGGTGCTAGAAGCTGGACTGCTTCTTTCTATCCAGGACTCTGCAGCCCCCTTGCAGCATTCAGACACGTTTTTGCCACGTTTCTTTCTCCGGCGAGCAGAGTACAGAGGCTCCGACATCAGGTTAGACACGGGCATGTTGCTGCATCCTGAGCGTGCTCCGCGCACCACGGTTAATCCTCACTTCTGGAAGTGGAAGCCAGTGCTGCGTTGGAGATGGAAACACAGGGATCACATTAACCTACTAGAGTTGCAGGCGTACCTCAAAACTCTCAAGTGGCGTGTGCGCTCCAAGCGTTGTTTCCAGATCAGATTCTTGCATTTTCTCGACAGTCAAGTGTGCTTGGCTGTCCTGGTCAAGGGCCGCTCCAGCTCCCGCAGGGTCAATCATGTTTTGCGCAAGATTGGGGCTTTAGTGATTGCTGCGGACTTGTTAGGAATTCATGGTTTCTTCAAGTCCGAGTTTAACCCTGCAGATTTGCCTTCTCGTGGCCATGGTTCGTAGAGCGGCGACTGTGGTCACCAATAGCAAAGAACGCAGGCAGCAATATCGTTCAAAACTGGGCACGCTTCAAAGCAACTTGGTCCAACAGACCACTGAACAGCGATATGCAAAATGGTTTGAACTGTTCGTTTTGTTTCTGCAACAAGAATTGGGGCACCTGCCTGCGGCGATGACAGATTATGATTTGTGGCTGGGTCGCTACATTGAGTTTTTGTGGCAAGAGGGAGAGCCCAAGTCCGCAGCTTCTGTCACTCTCGCTGCAGTACAGCATTTTGTCCCTTCTCTGAAGCGGAATCTGCCTTGGAGTTGGCGGCTCAAGTCCAAATGGGACTCACTGGAATTGCCGTGTCAGGCCAGTCCTCTCACAGCTTCGTGCTTGTTTGCTTTGGTTGAACAGGCATGTCAGTGGGGCTGGGAACGCCTTGCTTATCTCATGTTGCTCATGTTTCTGGGCTTTCTGCGCACAGGGGAAGCTTTGTCACTGTTGTGCAAACACGTTGCTATCACAGCCAAAGGCGTCGTACTTACCTTGCACCACACCAAGGGTGCGCAGCGAGCAAACGAGCCATGTGAGGAGATTGTCCTCGCAGACCCGCTGGCCGTCTTGGCGGCAACCATCTTGTGTTCCGGCATTAAGCCGGGTGATACTCTGTCTGGATTGAGCTCGTATAAATTCCGTAGTCAGTGGTTTCAGCTCTTGCAACATTTTGAGCTGCAGGGGCATGGGTTTCGCCCACATTCCTTGCGAAGAGGGGGAGCAACGCATTTCTTTACACAGACAGGCAATTTAGCAGCCACCATGTTAGTTGGTCGCTGGAAGCACCTCAGCACGGCTCGGATCTATTTGAAAGAGGCTAAAGCTGCCTTACAAACCATAACTTTTCCCAGGGCTGTTTCACAGCGGCTTTCGCAAGCGTCCGCAGCCGGTGTTCGGCGTCTTCGACGCCAGATCGGGACGCATGGAAGCGGGTAGCAGGCGAGCAGGAGTCCTTTCTTGCACAGCTCACTTGCAGTGATGCCCTGGCAGTGGCA